CAGTGCAATGGAGGGGCAGGACACTTTTTCAAAAGTAGCCATTGCTTGGAGACTGGCTGGGCATTGGCCAGCAGAGTGAGGCAGTGAGTGACTGCCTCAGTGAGTGGGTGGGTCTTGGTTTGTTTTCCTTTAGTTTCTTCACTTCTAAAAACTGTCTTGATCCAGACGCACTTGGATATTCTTGCTTTGGCATTTGCAATTTTCTCCTCAATGCCTGAAGAGGGGGAGTGAGCGAGAGGCTGGGTGGGCACTTTACATTCAGCCAGGGTCACTCCACCATCGCCTGGCACACTGAGGGGCCATGACTGAGTCGAAGTGTGACGTGGAGGCTTATGGATGGAGACAGAAGTCCAAACCTCCCTCTTTTCACAGGAATACACAGTATAACATAGGGCTGCTTTTCTTGCTTATTGCCTTAGCCCAAGGCAATAAGCCCACCTCCTTTCCCTCCCCCTCTTTCCCTCATCCTCAACTGACCTGTGCTTTCCTCCCAACAGCCTTCACACATAAAATGTCAACCGTGCCACACATTGAGCCACCTCTGACCACACAGAAGACCACGGCTACCACCTCCATCAGCAGCACCTCCAAGACCTCTGTCTCCACAGAGACCAGCCCACCAAGCAGCACAGAACTCCCTCTGGCAACAACATCTCCAAATCCCAGCTCTCCACCTGCCCCCAGCAGCCCACTCAGCACCCGGCTGCCATCTACTGCCTCGTCTACATTCTCTTCTTTGTCTGCAACCGTCAGCACAATGCCTACACCTACACCCCTCACTACTTCCACCTTTAGGTCTTCTGGGAGTACTCCGTATTCTTCTTTCCAAAACACCACATTGCCTCCATATGGCAAAACATCTTCCTTAGCCGTTCCTACCAGTATCTCTGCCAAATCCACTCCAGTGTTGGTCCCGACTGTTTTATCTACAACGATGACATTTGCTCCCCTTGTGATCACTACTGCTTCTACAGAGTCGGCTGAAAGGAGCACCTTGCGAACAACAACATTAACCACTGCCCGCACGACCTCATCTCCTTCTTTCACCTCTAGACTTTCAACGTCCTTGTCCTCCATTGTGCCATCCACAGTTCCACATGGTAATGTATATCCATAGCATTTCCTATATCATGCTTTTTAATACCTTTTTTTATTTCACGAGTGCATGATTTTTTTCTTTACATATTCTTTATCTGTGATACCATTTGTACCCATTGGCTCCATCTTTTCTTTTTGCCCCTTATGCAGTTACTTTTTGTAGAGAAGTTGTCTGATGTCTTAGATTTCATAAGCTGATTCCCTGCTATACAATACTGTAGACATTAAAAAGCATGAGTTAAAGAGTCTGACAGGATGCAGATCAGGAGAGTCACAGAACCTCTATTTTCTAATCTTCAAAAGCACTGTAAGAAAGACAGCCTGTTCAAATAAAAGGTATCTTTTGACTTACCTTGCAGCCCTCTTGTTAGCTCTCATATACTTTGCACAGTTCAGCATTTTTGTTCTCTCTTCTGCTGGATACTGTTTTCCCATTTTTCAAGGTACAGAGATGCTTTTTGGTTCCTGTGCATAATTAATCACCTAATATTTTTTGACTGAAGGAATACTATTTTCTATAATTTCCACACCATTTCATGAAAAGCGATGCACACAAAGCAATATCTATCTACTACTTTGAAATGGAACTGTCCTACTTTAGGATTTGCAGTATAGGAGTCAGAAACATGGTGTGGATGCACAAGAGCTATCTAAGATTTTAACTGTACCCTGTATAAGTAGCAGAGGCCTAGTTTCTACTCTTATTTAGAAACAATGAGGAAGTTTTTATTCAATGCTTTCTAGGATATGGGTTAACACCTAAGAATAAACCAGAGTGACACATGCACTGTTCAATCTATGAATGGAAGGTAGGTTTACTGTATGGTTCATTTTTGTTTTAATCACCGTTTGAGGACCAAGAGAAGAGTTAACATCTCAATTTAGCCACTTTGCATTCTCTTTTGGGAGTTTTCAACATACAAAGGAGAAACTATCTAGAACGTGTACTTTAGCCACATCATACTGCCTTGTTCCCTATTGCCTTGTCCGCTGTCATATACTGACTTCACTGCTTGTTCTCATTTTCCATGTGTTTAATTCCTAAAGAAAGTACATTCTTCACTTGCCTTATCTTTTTCAAGAATCAGGAGGGATATGCAGCATCCTATAGGCCTGCCCCTTTTCTGCCCTGCTTAATAATGAGATTATAAGTATTTGTATCTTTTTGTCTTTGAAGCATGTGTTCAGAACTTTTCCACAGATAAATATGCTACTTCCTTAGTTGTGAATCCTCACACAAAGTCCTTCATTTTGTCATTACAATCAGCTCCACTGAACCAGGAACTCTAACAGGAAGGAAGAATGAACAAAGCAGAATACCATGCTTCATTCAACCAAGACATCAGTCTTAATCCAGAAGACTGATTATACAAAGGGTTCCAAATAGTCATGTAAGAAAACTGCATTTGTGGTTAACTACTACTCTCAAAGAGTGATGTTAGAATCAATATACAATAGTGGGTACAGTTACCTGTAGCTGAACCTTTCATCTCCGTTTCCACCATTAACATTGTCAGAGTGCAGCCTGGCCAGGTCAGTCAGCTCAGCCACAAGGCATGGGAGAATTACCTACTTGCAGAGAAGTGATTAAATGCAAGTCTGTCCTTCATCCTGCTGTCACACAAGTGCTGCAGTACCAAAGAGGCTCATTGCAGTTTTAGCAGAAAAGAGCCTCGAACTGACTGACTGCTCGAGCATTGGGAAATGACAGTTTGACCCAAGGAGGCAGGATTTGACCCTGCTTGCCCTTCATCCTCATGATTTTCACCTCACAGAATGGGAATCCAAGTAAGAACTCTCATAAGCAGAAGGATTTTCCACAGTACAGTTATGGTTTAGGGGCCTGCTTTGGATTTTGTTCACATTCTTTTCCTAAGAGAAGTGCTTCCAAACATTACATTCCCAACCAAGCATTACTGACTTTGCTCCTTGCAGTCTTAGTCTACTGTCCAGTTATTAGTTTTTTTATTTTCCAATAAGAAATTCCCAAACATATACTACAGTATTAACTGAGTCTTCCCTGCAATAGTGTTCAGGTTTCATCTATAACCTACCTTTAACCATGGAACCTGACTGTGCTCAAGAGATAATTGTGCAGGAACAAGTGTGAGCGGTGCGTGAATTGCCTTTGTAGTATTCAACATCTTTGTTCTCCTTAAAATAAACTTCAAACACTGTGTTTAAACTCCTTGGAAAACCTATGTTTTCAGTCAGCTCTTAGCTTCATACAGTGTTTAAGTGTCATGCTTCAAGTCAGGAGAAAATAGGAGATTGGTACATCAGTATGTAGCATTAGGCATTCTGTCTTGTAAGGAAAGTTGTGAACTTCTGTTTGCCTACAAAAAATTACACCCTTAAAATGAGTAAGCTAAGCATTTTTCCAGGAAGTAAGATCTACTACAAAGTCTGAGAACCAGAAATAATTCCACTAGAACGAGACAGCTGGTTGTTTTACGTGCATCTTAACGTTCTCAGCAGAGGATTAGTTTTTTTCCTGCTGGACTGAATTTGCACTACATTCTTAACAGGAATTTTTTTTCCTCATTTGTAATTCCAGCAATCTCTGTGTTCTTAGTTGTTCTCCATGATAAGTGCCTCATGCATCTTCAGCACCCAGTTTAAAACCTCCTCTTGCAGAAATTTATCTTGCTATAATTCTTTCTCTTTTTTTACATTTGACAGATCCTTGTAGAGAAGTTGAATATGAAGAAAATATAACTTACAAAGGCTGTTCTGCAAATGTCACTTTAAGCCGATGCGAAGGATCATGTCCATCTTCAACAAAGTAAGGATAGCTCAGAGGCTGTAGAGTACTGAAGTTGTTTTTCTTACTTAGTCATCTGTAAGGAGTGGTATTTTATGAACTACTGCTCCTTAAAAGTCAGGGAGGAACATGTGGTTAGAATCCACCCAGTAATATATTATGTTGCCATATAAAGCAGGTAACTAAAACCAGCATTAATAAGGTCATTTACTGTATAGGGATTTACATTCTAAAGAAGGAATGTCATCTCACTTCCTTAAGTTTTTGTTGTTTTTTAAAAAAAAAATAAACAGACGTCAACGCTGCAGGTTTGGGGGGCTGTTTCGTTGGTTTGATTGTTGGGATTTTGGTTTTGTTTATTTGTTTGCTTTTTAAAGATGGAAAAGGTTGTTTAGACTACAAATACTGTTTTCAAATAGCTAAGACAGTAAAATAAGAAATTTCATCTAGGGTACATAATGTTACTTCAGTTGTTTCATAACATTCTCCTATGAATGTAATTCAGGTATATTTTATAATTACAAGTGCTGTCTGAGCCTGTGCAGTTCTGCTTGCCCAGTAGGAGACTATTCAACAGAAAATCAAGGCTTCAATACAACTAAACTTAGTGTAGCAGTATTAGAGTTCACAATTATTTGGGGGAAAAAATTAAAATTGTTAAATTCCCAACAACCCAAGCCAATACTATGTTCAAGAAGAAAAGCAACGAAGAGTTTTGCCTTTGCAATAACTAATTTAAATTAATCCTGAAGCTAAAAGCTATCCCCTTCAAAGCAAGTTCAGGTGTCCCCCAGCCTTTTAAAAACTGAGTGACTGACTTTGTATCCTGAGAATATTCAGAAGGGCTGTGAACCCTGGCGGAAGATTTTTAGAGTTAAGGTTTGTCACAATTATTTGGAAAGTTGTAGTTAAAACCCAACTTTAACTGAAACCAAGAAACTTTTCTCCCCTGCAAAGGAGATTTTAAAAAAAACCTTTTTTTCCTTAACTTTCTTGTTCACATACCTGAATTCTAGCCTACCTTTATACTGCTTCCCACTGACAAAGATAGAACCAAGTCCAGCAGTAGGCTGAACGCTGTCAGAAATCAACAGTGTAAGAAAACAGCAGCATCGTGAAAGACTCGAAGCCTCACCTGCCTGTTCAAACAGTCACTTCACTTCACCTACATGTGTTTTATTACTGTGAAGTCAGCAAGATACGTGCAAGTCTACTGTGGCTTTGTTAACTGACCTCACAACCCACAACTGATATTACTATGCAGTCACCAGCTTAGATTCTGGTGCTAACTGCTCAGAGGAAGAAAGGGATTTTCCTTCCTCCATGAACCATGCAAAGGGAACACACAATTTAGCATTTGTGTTAACAGACCATAACAGAGACCTTTTGCAAACTCAAAGTAGTCCAGTGCACAGCTTTAAAAAGATTAAATCCACAGTTACTTTACAATGTTCAGAAGTCCAAAGAACAGGGAAGTCAAATCTTACTAGTTTTCCAGTGAGGTCTGAGGCCTAATAGATGACAACACCCTCTCTTAAAAAGGAAGGCAGCAGCTCAGTACACCTGAGCTCTTGCAGCACCCATCATGAGAACTTCAGTCGCTTGCTGCACTGTTTGTAGTTCTCTAGTTGACAGAAGCATTAAGCTGAGTGTTGTGCTCTTTCCTCTGAACCTCCTACCACAGGAAAAAAAAAAGTGCAAATACTTGAAAAGCCCGAAGCCTAAAATTCTGTATACAAATGCCAACTCATTCTTCCTCTCTTCCAAACAGGCTGAATGTTGAGAACATGATGGTCATCACAGCATGTGGCTGCTGTCGGCCACTTCAGCTTCTTAAGAAGGAATTCCAACTACCATGCCCAGACCCAGATGACCCTGGAAAAAGGCTCACTACAGTCATAACTGTATTTAGTGGCTGTGTTTGTAACTTTGACAGTTGCATACACTAGACTTGCAAACAGGCTTCTGAGCAGCTGCCTGGACTGTCAGTGAACTTGACAGATAAATTATTCCTGATCAGGAGGGTGGGATGCAGAGACGAAAAAAAGAATGGGCAGCGTGAAGTTCGGGAGGGAAGACCATGTCAGAGACTGTATGGCCTTGTTCAGGGTGATAATATTTAACCAGAGGCTAAAAACTGGCCCACGCACTGTGCAGTAACAGAAATTTGACTTTCAAATAAAGTAGAAGGAATTGAATTTCCTAACTTTTCATTATTTGGCCAATTATTTTAACTGAAAATAGTCTGTTAGGTTCACTACAGCTGAACTAGGACCTGTGGAATAGCCCACCACTTCACGGGGAGAACTGACCCATTCCCTTTCCTTTGAAGGTAGACACAGCACTTGTGTTCATCATCCATAGATGACTGCTGTTGGAAAGCAAGGTGCTACATGAACCAAAAGCTAATTGTGAGGTTTCTGCATGCACCCTAGAAACACTACTAACACAGACATGTAGTGGCTTTTGGATAACACAGAAATTTGACGGCATTTCCCTGCAAGAAGTCAAAGCCCATATGCATCTAACAGGACACAGGTTCACTCAGAAGCAATTTCTACTTGCTGCCAGTCAAGAGAATTCTTTATTACTTTGTTTGCAAATAATTTAAGAAAAAGCTGTATGAGTACACAAAAGCTCATATTTTTTTCCCTTTTAGCAAGTTTCAGAGAAGAATCTGAAGCATACATTTAGAGCTTAAGTGATGTTATTTAGCAGTTTAGATACTCTTTACAGTGACATCAACTTTTTACAGCTCCTGCCCATTTGTAATACAGGTGTGTGCTGTTTAGCCTCAACCTTATCCCACTGCTACTCCAGTTTACTGCAGTCTGCACTGTTCACATACTTACTGGTGTTAAGCACTCTAGGAAGAAAGATTTTACATCAAGGTTTTGGTTGGTTTGGGTTTTTTTTTACAGTAGAGTATTTATAACATGTGACTAAACACAGCAACAAAACCAAACTCACTCACTGGAGGGAACAGAGATCTTTAGACCAGATAAGATTCAAGTGAACAAAACCCACTGGTTTTCAGAAAGAAATCACATCAATTGTTTCACAACAACCATTCCATGCAAGTATTTCTTAAACTTTTATGCTCCCAGACAAAAAAAGGACAGTTTGATTACTGTTCTAATCATTTATTTAATCTTAATACGTTCTTCTGATGAATATAGTCTAATATATAGTCTTCTATATGAAAATTCTCCACTTAATTTGACAGAACTTTGTTTTATACAAATAAGACAATCACCATAAATGTTACATACTGGAGTGTAGGTCAAGAATGAACATATGCTACCTGTTTTGCTATTCAGTTATTTTCACATGTCAATGCCTGAAAATACTGCACTTAAAAACAATAACACTGTTTACTGCAGAAATTACTTTGTCTGCTTGACAGGATACATCACTGGTAAGTTAACCATCATTCACAAACAAAAAAAAAATAAAGTATTTGTATTTAATTTGTTCACTTTTCTGCTCATGGCTTCATTGAGCTGACATTTAATATAAAAAGTGAACAGTCATAAGCTTAACACAGTCACCACTGAAAAGACACTTTTCCCTTACCCCTCCCTCCTTCCCATATTTTAATGCACATTTTAGCACAGCTTGAACCAAAGCAGAGTGAAATAAAGTAGTGCAGTTCTCAAGGTGTCCTTTAATGAGGGCACAGAACATTTTACAGGGGGACAGATATACAACAGGATTTGGAATAGTTGAAACAGAAGCTCCTCCCCTGTCTTTGCTAAGACTCCCTTTAGATCAGCACATCAGATTTGTAATGTAGCAGCCAACAGCATGGTTAACATAACAGGACTAATAATGAGACATACACCATCCAGAGGAAAAAACATAAGGTATCCCATTAGTATTTTGCAATTGCCCAACATGACTGCAGGAACTGCTCATGAAGACTTTCAATGACAATATTTATAATCAAAGAGTCTTAATTAAGAAGTATTTAAAAGGCCTTAAAGGGGCCAATTGTTCAAGAGAACTTCTGCAGAATGACCAGGCCTTTAGCCAAATTTTCAGTCTTAATATCCATAGTTACAAGCCATTTCTGGAAAAACAAAACATATCCCCCAAAATCCACACACATCACAGCAAAACCTTTGTTCCTCATTTTTCACTTGTACTCAAGTACAATCACTAGCCTTCAACGAAATCAAGTTATAATCTCCCAGTTCCATCATTTAAACTCAAAGCACTGAAGACAAAAAGCAAGGCACACTCAATCATGGAGAATCCTGTCCCCTGCTGTGCACTGGGCAGCACGACAGCAGCCTCATTTAAATGTATTTTCAATGTCATCACTCTTACTCAAAACCTTTACTCCATGGGCACGCTTGTCTGTATGTGCGTGAGACACCAGTCCCAGGCTGCCTTTAAATAACCTTGAGGAAACCTTGACCTGAGGTTCACTTCTCACGTCAGCAGTAGATGATTTTGTTCATCATGATCTGTAGTTCTCGCTTACAACTGCCCACGGTTTCTAACTGGGCTACCTCACTTGCTTTGGTTTTGCAGCCTTTGTTGCACCTCAAGGCTGGAGCGTGAGCCAAAATTTCTGCAGAGAGGCTGATGTGAAACAAGTTAAAAAGACTCTGGTTGTAAAAACCTGAACGTTTTTGAGTATTCCACTTTAAGTTTCAACAGAAGTTTTCTACACCATGTTGGACATTTTTACCACTGACAGAAAGGAAACTGTTCAGATATCAGTTATTCAACCTCTTAAGTTTTACCATTCATGTACACTGGGGAAAATATTGTTTAAAATTACATTTTCATCTAAGAGTGCATGCCTTAGAGCCCTTCAAGGGCCCATTTCTTCTCACTTCTTTTATACAATACTAGACCCTGCAGTTAATTGTATCACATCATTAGGACTATTACTTGTGAAGTCTGATGGAAAACAGAAAAAACAGAGAACAAAGTATTTAACTTCACTGAGTAACAAGGAACAAGTATATACTCATTCACCACCTACCAGAGAAGCTCATCTCATTATTAGAGATAAGCAGAAGGATTAAGAATAGCTTTTGCTTTCAGTTCACTTTCCAAAGATCAGAAAACATTAAGATGTAAAATATTTCACAATTAATATTTTAAGACTCTGGTCCTGTGACATTTTTTAAATACAAAGATTGGTGACACAACACAAATGTTCACTTGAATCAGATTCAAACACATCCTGGAATCTGCCCTCCCATCCAGCAGACAACTTGTGGGAACGTTCACTTTACAAAGTTTTGACTCTACATTTAACATCTGATTTAACCTTACTGAGCAGCAGTACATTGGTTTCTTTCAACTCAGAGCAGAGGAAGTACCTGTTAAAGGTACTGAAGCAGAATGTTTACTAGCTATTTCCAGCTGAAATCCTTGATTACCACATCTAAAACAACTTCCCTTCAACAAGGTTAAAAGCCTGACCTCTGCAAAAAAAAAAAGAGCAAAAACAGCCCTCCCACCCTTTGTGTAACAGACTAAAAGCCATTTTTAATGGAAAAAGTCACTTCCCTGTACTGTACATTTTATATTCTTAATTTTAAACAAGGGTCAAGTCCTATTAAGGCAGGGAGCTGGTATTGGTTAACATTGCAGTACTCAGACAGTGATGTACAAGACATTTATTTGCAGTATGATGACAGTGATATAAGTGGAAAAACCAAAACTGACATGGTTAATATTAAAACTGTTCAGACAGCAATTCACATAATCTCTGAGATACAGCTTCTTTACTTGTTCGTAGTGTGAGCCTGTACATCTGAAAAAGAACATAAAATTTTACTTACTTTTTAAACACAGTTTGGCATTAAATGAACGCACAGTCAACTAGTGAAAACTAACAGTTACCTCCTACTTGCTTTGTAAGCTTTGGTAGGAAAAAGACCTCAAATCAAAACATTCAGAGGCAGCCAGCCACTGAGTAATACAGCTTTTTCAAACCACTGGCTGAACCAAACTTATATTCAAGTGCTTGTAGAGAATTACTTTTATTATAGTATTTTTAGCCTTCAACAGAAAGGTGTTGTCCAAAATTTTTCTTTAAGAAGAGTAAATGTTGTGGAAAAGTTTACAGACCCTCTACTACCACTTCTTCAGGGAACAGAAGACTTACCACACAAAACTTATTTTTAGTCCTTAATTAATTTTGATAAAACCTCTATCAAAAAAGCTTGAGTAAAAATATTCTTAACATTGTGTTCATGCTTTCTCTTTTAGCCACTTTTTTACTAACTTAAAATGGCAAAAGAAAGCATACTTAACCTTGTCTGAGGTGCACAAGACAAAAACATTAAATGTTTCAAACCTTCAAGAGAAGATGAGACTTGACAGACAGTCTGGAATATTACAATGATCTCTTCTAACAGGAAAGGGAATTGCTATGAAGAAGCAGCTGTATATGACATGGTATAATGTCATGCAGGACCAGCTGCTACCATATAATTTCCTGTTGGAGCCTGCAGTCACAATCTGCTATTGCAATAGTCATTTTTAAATACCTTAAGGAGTTTCAGATACACACAGATATTTAGCTCAAATGAGAACCTGTATTTAAGCTGTCGATAGTTACACAGATACCTGTGCCTGGAGGTTGGGTTCAAGGCGCAGCAAGCATCCAATCTGAGTAGTTTTTGTATGTATGATACCAGCACCAACAAAGTTGGCAGGATTGGGATCTACCTCCTCAAGCAGCGCTGATCCAAAGCCTATTATCTGTGAAAGAAATGTAGAAGATTCAGACGTGGGGAGAGGAGGACACAAATATCAAGTCTACCCAAACAGAGCCACCACCAAATAGCAAAACAAGTAGGAGACTAACTTTAAAGTGTTCAAGACAAAGAATTCTCCAATACCAATTTCATTACAACGAATTTTTGAAAAATGACCCTGCTAATGAGCTGTTCCTGTAAATAAGGTTCTTCTCAAAAGCAACTGAGAAATAAGTTAAGATTTAACAGAAGTCTCCCCTGGTTTTGATACAGCCATTCCTGTCTTACACAGTTACTTCTGTTTTGCCTAAGGCAGCCAGTTCTACAAAAAGTGACTTTTCTAACTAGTAACTCTAGTACAAATTAGGGCTTGAAGTATCTTCCAGTTCAGTTTTAAGCAGTGAATTGGTGTTTTCTTAAACAGCTTCAAGTTTTCAGCTGCTATTGAAGACTATA